TTCATTTTTACACAAACCCTAAAATTTTTATCCCCACCTACTTCAGAAATTGGGTGTGTGTGTGTGTATATGGGTCCGTCTGTCTGCCCCTCCTAACTTCCTTGGCCTAGAAATTAAATATCTGAGGGATGAGTCTTATGTCTGTGGGAAAACGTTCCCAAAATATGCTCTCCCTCCTTCCAGTAACTGCCAGGGTAGATAAGAAACAGATCCTCTGGTCTCCAGCTTTATGCCTTTTGAATGGGATATACATTGTCTTCGGCTTACGACCATAATCGAGCTCCCAAATTTCCCTTGTTCAAGAAGGGCGTTGTAAAGTGAGTTTTTTTTTTAATTTGATTTATATGCCGGAGACTCAGGGCGGCTTACAATGCGTTAAGCAATAGCCTTCATCCTTTTGTATATTTATACAAAGTCAGCTTATTGCCCCCACAATCCGGGTCCTCAATTTACCTACCTTAGAAAGGATGGAAGGCTGAGTCAACCTTGAGCCTTGGCGAGATTCGAACCTGCAGTAATTGCAGGCAGCTGGTCTTAATAACCAGCTTAATAACAGGGTGCCTTAGACCACTGTACTACCAAGGCTCTTGCCCCATTTTACAACCTTAACCTCGCTGTTAAGCGAATCACTGCAGTTGTTAAGCTAGTCACACAGTTGTTAAATGAGTCTGGCTTCCCTATTGACTTTGCTTGTCAGAAGGTCGCAACCCCCACCCCTCAATCCCCCAACCCTAGAAAGTCCAGTTGCCTCCTGAAAAAGCAGTTGGGACAACTGTGACTTGAATGACTGAGAATCTCCATAGACTTAGCTATGCATTTGGGATGAACATCCTATGAATGGTGCTGGGAATAAGAACGGATTTCCGGAAAAATTGCAGACCACAGGAATCATTTGCACCACTCAGGTGGCCCTGAAGACACAGATAAAACTTCCAAGTGGCAAAAGGATGCAAACAACCAGCTGTCTGCAAGGAATATCAATCCTTCTGTTCCCCACCATCCAGTCAGAACTGAGGAAGCTTCTTGGATGAGAAGCGAAACGTCTTCAAAGAAAAAACAAAGAAGTACACTTGCTTCTTGAAAAAGCACTTTGGGGTCCTAACCATACATTTTGGCTTTCAAGTTAAAAATTTAAAAAAAAACCCTCAACCAGTCAAAACTGCTTTGACCGTCCTTTACTACTTCTAAATTCTTTTTCCCCCTCCTTCCCTCTTCGTTGGAAAAATGAAATCTGATACGGAAGATTCTTGGCCAAGGCTTTTCAGGGAATGAGATTTGTTATAGGATCTTCTAAGTCAGGCGTGTAATTTAGTGCAAGATTCCGAACAGGAGGGAGGGGAAAAAATGGTTTATTCGTTTTTTCCATTTGCTCCTTTTCCAGAGGCTCTGAGCAGCTTGCAAAGTGCTAGTGCTGCGAAATTAAAATACAGGCAGTCCTTGACAGAAGAACAGGGTTGGGAGGGACCTTGGAGGTCTTCTAGTCCAACCCCAAAGTTAGCCCTAAGTCACCCAGCTGGGTTTCAGGCCTAAGACAGGACTAGAATTCACCATCTCCTGGTGATCGCCCAAAGTCACCCAGCCAGTTTTCCCGCCTAAGGCAGAACTAGAACTCACGATCTCCCAGTTTTCAGCCTGGTGCCTTAACTATTAGACCAAACTGGCTCTGTTAAGATGCTTTTTAAACATCCAGCATTATAGGCACAAAATACACCCCCAACAAAAGAAAACTCCGAGACTTAGATTTCCTCAAAGTTACTTTTTATTAAAGATGTCATATTGGCACACCTGGGAAAACCCGAATCCGAATTTCCAGGTTTTCCCCACCCAAGTGAAAGTTCAAGTCCCTGCCCAGCACCCTCATGTCCATCACATGGGCCAATCATCCACCGTCCAAACTGAAGACGCTTCCCAATCATCTGACTCCAAGTGCCAGGGCAATGTGTCCTTGACTCTCTGAGAAAGGAATGTTATTTTGACTACATATCATCTACACTCTAGGCAATCCCCCCTCCCATTTTCCCACAGAAAAAGATGTGGCAGGCCTGAAGGCCCAAACACAAAAGATGGCTTCCAAGTCTGACACAATGGTTGCAATTTCTTTTTATCCCCATTGCACAACATGTTTTCTGACAACTGAAAATATATGGTTCCAAAGCAGATTCAGGTGGTCCTTGACTTCCAACAGTTCATTTAGTGACCGTTCAAAGTCACAACGGCACTGAAAAAAAGTGACTTATGACTGTTTTTCACACATACGACCATTGCAACATCCCCAGGGTCAAATGATCAAAATTCAAACACTTGGCAACTTGACTCGTACTTATGACGGCTGCAGTGTCCCGGGGTCATGTGATCACAGCTTTTGCCATCTTCTGAAAAGCAACGCTTATTAAGTTAACATCTCTCTTACTCTCTACACGGTCATACAAATTTTACACATTGATGGTTTTTCTGGAAGCAGGATTCACTTAACATACGTGTGGCTAACTTAACAACTGCATTGATTCACTTAACAATTGTGAGCAAGAAAGATTGTAAAATGGGGTAAAACTCATTTAACGAATGTTTCGCTTAGCAACAGAAACCTTGGGCTCAATTGTGGTTGTAAATCGAGGACTACCTGTATAAAAATCATCGGTACGGTAAAGAGCCAAGTTAAGTTTGGTTATCCAGAGCAGGCAGTCCCAAAAGAGGCATCACCTTCTCACCTGGCCAAGCTATCTCCTTACACCCCATTTAACCCATCCCCCAAATGCCAACCCTGAGAGCACAGGTTGGGGGGAAAAAATAAGTGGACAAAGGAGGTCAAGAGGTCGTAAAAGGGAATCACATGACCCTGGGACACAGCAACGGTCATAAATATGAACCAGTTGTCAAGCATCCAAATTTTAATCACATGCAATGATCATAACTATGAATAATGGTCATAAGTCACATTTTTCAGTGCCATTGTAACTTTGAACGGTCACTAAATGAACTGCTATAAATCGAGGACTACCTGCACACAAGTAGTTTTTAACTTATAACCCATTCGTTTAATGATCGTTTGAAGTTACAACAGCACTGAAAAAAGTGATTTATGACCATTGTTCACAGTTATGACCGTTGCATGTGATTAAAATTTGGATGCTTGGCAACTGCCATGTACTTATGACCCTTACAACCCTTGCAGCATCCCCCTGGTTAAGTGATCAAAATTCAGACAGTTGGTGACTGACTCATAGTTATGACAGCTGCAGTGTCCTGGGGTCAAATGATCCCCTTGATTCACTTAACAAACTGGGTTACTAAAGGTGCTTTTTCAAAAGGCGTGGAAATTTTGATGGACAGTGATCGATAGATATAGATATATAGATATATCGGTGTATAAATATATATAGATATACATATGGGTGGATATATATGTATGTGTGTGTGTATGTATGTTGCATGTGTATATGTGTTGTATGCGTGTATGGATATATACACCTTTTGGGATAGATAGATAGATAGATAGATAGATAGATAGATAGATGATAGATAAGATATAGATGATAGATATGATATAGATGATAGATGATAGATATAGATGATAGATACAGATGATAGATATGATAGATATAGATGATAGATATGATAGATATAGATGATAGATATGATAGATATAGATAGATGATAAATATGATAGATATGGATGATAGATGATAGATATGATAGATATAGATAGATAGATAGATGATAGAGACTAGATAGATAGATATGAATGGATGATAGAGATGATAGACAACACAGACAGATAGATAGATAGATAGATAGATAGATAGATAGATAGATAGATAGATAGATTAGATAGATATTGCATGTGTATATGTGTTGTATGCATGTGTATGGATACATACCTTCTTTTGAGAGCAAGCAACAGAATTTCATTTTTTTTGTTTTAATTAAGTTTTTATTCATCTGTGAAAATACTATTTTTAAGGAAAACTAATATAATACAGAAAAGGAAATATGAGCATAAAGTCACATAAAGCATTTCACCTTCATTGACTTCAAGCCAAGAATTATGCATAGATGTGGTGAAAAGGCAACGTGAGGAACATATGAATCATTACATTTGTGCAACTTTCAAGCAATGTTTTTAAAACTAATATAGTTAAAAATCTAATAGTTACAAAAAGAAAAAGGTATGCATTGTTTAAAGGAAGGCTGACACGCATCAAAGCAGTGATACATGAAAAATGCAAATAATAAGTTGTCAAGCGAATATTCACAAGGAAAATTATGTTTTTAAAATCTACAAAAGCACATCAATAAATGATATTAAAATTTAATCCTTGCCTTTAAGTATTAAGTAAGTTCTGCTTTAGGAAAACACGGACAGATGAAAAAATGAAACAGAATTTCATTTTTAATGTGTGCCAGTGTGCTCACCGTAAAAAAAAAAAATGACAATAAAGGTAATCTCGTCTCATCTGTCTTTGTTTCTGCTTTTAAGACGTTTCGCTTCTCCTCCAAGAAGCTTCTTCAGTTCTGACTGTATGGGGTCATTCAGTCAGAACCGAAGAAGCTTCTTGTGGATGAGAAGCGAAACGTCTTCAACGAAAAAAAAAAACCCCAAGAAAGTCCAGTTGCCTTTTGGAAAAAAGCACCTTTGGGACAAACGTGACTCCATGGAATACCGTGTTACTAATTTAACAACTGCGGGGTTCGCTTAACGACCGTGGCAACGAAGCGGCCGACCCCAAAAGTCTCCACCGCCGTCTCCGCTTCCCCGGCTTTGTGATGGAGGACGGCGGCCTCTTCGGCTCCGCCCCGCCGGCGTTACCTTCTCGGGGGCGGAAGGTATGACGCGCGTCCGCTCCCTCCCTCAGCCGGTATCCCCCCGGCCGAAAAAAACCGGCGAAAGGGCAGGCAGGCTTCGGGCCGGGCGCTAGGCCTCGCTCCGGGGCGTCTCCTAGCAACGGACGAGCGCCGCTGATTGGCCGCGACGTCCCGCCGCCATTTTCAAACGGCCGCGTCGCCATTCGGGTTCTTGGGCCGGCTCCGCTTAGCATGGAAGGCGCCCCGATGGCCGCCAAACCCCCCGTGCGGAGGAAGGGAAGGCCGCGGAGGCAGCAGAAGGAGCCGGGCGGACGGACAAGCCTCCCGGGCGGCGCGGCGCTGGAGGAAACCCCCGGCGGGGCCCAGAGAGGGGAGGCCCCCACCGCCTCCTGTGGGCGGTAAGTGGGCCGGTTCAGCCCCCCTCCCCCCCCCCCTCCCCTCCCCCCCCAAAGGGAAGGGCGCCCCCAGAGGAAGGGGAAGGAAGGGGGTGGGTCAGGCCTTTCCTTCCTTCCTTCCCTTCCTTCCTTCCTTCCTTCCTTCCTTCCTTTCTTTTCCTTCCTTTCCTTCCTTCTTTCTTTTCCTTCCTTCCTTCCTTCTCTTTCTTTCTTTCCCTCCCATCCTTTCTCTCTCCTTCCTTCTTGCCTACCTTGTTCTCTTTCTTTCTTTCTTTCTTTCTTTCTTTCTTTCTTTCTTTCTTTCTTTCTTTCTTTCTTTCCCTCTTCTTCCTTCCCTTCCACTCTTTCTTCTCCCTCCCTCACATCCTTTCTTTCTCCTTCCTTCTCCCTCCATCCCTCCCTGCTTTCTCTCTCACACTTCCCTTCCTCCCACTCTTCCTTCTCCCTCTTTCTCTCATTCCTCCCTCCCTGTTTTTCCCTCCCTCCTTCCTTCTCCATCCATCCCTCCCTTACCCCTTTCGCCCTCCCTCCCTACTTTCCTCCCTCTTTCTCTCATTCCTCCCTTACCCCTTTTCTCCCTCCCTGTTTCTCTCTCCTTCCTTCCTTCTCCATCCATCCCTCCCTGTTTTTCCCTCCTCCCTTACCCCTTTCTCCCTCCCTTCCTACTTTCCTCCCTCTCTCCCCCACTTCCCTCCCTCCCTCCCTTTCTCTCATTCCTCCCTCCCCCCTTTTCTCCCTCCCTGTTTCTCTCTTCTTGCTTCAGACTTTCTCCCTCCTTCCTTCCTTCTCTCTCCATTCTTCCCTTCTCTCTTACCCCTTTCTCCCTGCCAACCTCCCTCCCTCCTTCTCACCTTTCTCTCTCTCCTCCCTCCCTCCCTCCATTAGGTAGCCCAGACCAGAAAACTGGCCTCGCAGGAAGCCCACTTTATTGAGAGAGGCTGTTATATCAGAATTTTGCAAGCCTGCTTGTGCGGGAACTCTGCTTCTCCTTAGGATGCCGGTGGGTCGCGGAGGCTGCTACCTGAATCTCTTCAGAATATTGTTTTGCCTTTTAGGGTTTGAAGGATGATTTGGTCCTTTTTCTCCTAGTCAAATAACCACAAATTCTTTGCTGCCCAGAGTCACATGGTAGAGAGATGGGTGACATACAAATTTAATAACTAATCATTCTTGTATATTTCTGCTTAAGGTCATCCTCCTTACTCTCTGCACTGTCAGACACATTTTACATATTGATAGTTTTTAACAAACAGGGTCTGCCAGGTTTGTAAAAGTGATGATTATTAATGATAAACATATAGCACAACACTTGCCCGAATTAACATGAATGTTAGTTTACACTTCAGCAAAAATATTTGAATACATTAGTCTTTTGTAAATTACCAATGATGCAGTTACTTCTTGGCAGTGTCTTAGAAGGGCATTAAAAAAAAGAATGAAATACTACTGATTGATAGGAGCTGGGAGACAAATTACATGAGATATTATCTTTCCAGGAAATCGCCAATTTCATTTGCTGGCAGTCTTTCCTTTTGGAAGACAGAAAAAGAGACCGGATTAGCAGTTTTTTTAATTTGGTTCTGATTGTTAGGGACTAATTAACTGATAAGGAGAAAAGCAGATAAGTTTAGGTGAAAGAGTCCATGACACCTATAGCAAAAATTGAGCTTAGTGAAATGTCAGTGGTTACCCAAGAAATGTAGCAACAGTTTAAAAATAAAAACAGAACTATAAAAAAGGCAGACTATTTACATTTCCTATTTCTTAACTCATTTCCCTCAGAGGGGGACTGTGGGCTACGTACAATATAATCAATAAAATGAACCTTAAAATCAGAATTTGTTTAAGATTAAATAGTTTTAAAATTATAAAAATAACATTATAAAATCTGAAAAGGTAAAAAATGCCAAGATGGGGGATTAGCAGTTAATACAGGTAGGAGTACATGGCTGGCTGGGGAATTCTGGGAGTTGAAGTCCACATGTCTTAAAGTCGCCAAGTTTGGAGACCCCAAGTCGAGAGGGACTTTTGTGGTTGTCCGTGAGGTTCTCTTGGGCAGTTGGGCTGATGCCTTAATCATGGCATGGGTGGGTTTTTGTCTGGACCTTAACCCAGATTGTCGCTATGTGGCCTCTCTCTTTATATTGACCCTGAATTAGTTATCATTGCTGGCTGAAGAATTCTGGGAGTTGAAGTCCACATGCCTTAAAGTTGCTATGGTTGAGAAACACCGGATTAGAGAAATCAAGTGGGGCTTGGTTTTGGGCCTGGTGCTCTTAAAATAATTGTGTTTAATGGTTTGGAGCAGTGTTTCCCAAAGTGTGGTACGCGTACCCCCAGGGGTACGGGAAGAGTTTGGTGGGGGTACGCGTTGCACCGGAGTTTGGTGGGGATGACATGGGAATATCCACTGCACCGTGCTTAGCTGCGCCCACAGAACAAGGAAAGAAATAGGCGCGTATCGCAGTTTTTACACGGGAACTGGGGCCATCGTACATCGTATCACAACTCATTATGGCGGGAACTTCTGCGCATCCTTCGCGCAGCTCGGGTTCGGCCATTTTTAAACTGCGGGAATATTAACAGTTGACGTTGAGCCACGGAGCTGTTTAAACGCCGGAGAATTGCAGTGTTATCTAACGGTTAGACAGTCTTGTGAGGCGTGACACGGCATGAATATACTGCACTTCGTTACAGAGACAACTTACTTCTTTAATAGTTAGTTCCGGTTTTTTATGAGGGGTACTCAGCGTTACGAAAATTATAGAAGGGGTACACGTATGTCAAAAGTTTGGGAAACACTGGTTTGGAGGATGAAATGGGGGAATCCTTGCCTTACGACCATAATGGAGCCCCACATTCCTGTTGCTACGTGATAAATTTGTTAAGTGAATTTTGCCCCGTTTTTACGACCTTTCTTGCCACGGTTGTTAAGCGAATCATTGCCATTGTTAAGTGAGTCACATGGTTGTGAAGTGCATCCGGCTTCCCTGTTGACTTCGTTTGTCAGAAGGTTGGAAAAGGGGGGTGTCACATGACCCCGGGACGCTCCAACCGTCATAAATATGAGTCAGTTGCCAAGCGTCTGAATTTTGATCGTGTGACCACGGGGGGGATGCTGCAACGGTGGTGTGAAAAAAAGTGAACGGTCGCTTAAAGGAACTGTTGTAAACCGAGGACTACCTGTATACTGTTTTGATTTGCATCGTAGCAAGATTCAGCAGAGCAACTATCGCTTTAGGAGACAAAAAGGACGCTGACAGTGAGAATCAGTCAGGAAGTTGGATGGAGAATAAGGGGATAACATTTACTGGAAGTGCAAAGCTTACCATACAGGTTGGAAGCTCTGGGTTTAGCAGCTGGATTTTTTAAAAATTCTCTGCCATAAGATGCATAGCAAGTATATTTTGTATTGTTTCTCTGTGTCATACGATATATGTGGGTGTATACATCATTTTGTATTTATTTATTTATTTATCTTCTCATGTTCATGTACATTGGAAGTGGTGACCTTTTGAAGAGCTATACGCAATGAAATTTCATTTTAATGTGTGCTATTTAGGGTACATTCAAAGTGACAAAGTTATTATTCTATTCTTCTCTTCTCTTCTCTTTCCCTCCTTCCTTCCTTCCTTCCTTCCTTCCTTCCTTCCTTCCTTCCTTCCTTCCTTCCTTCCTTCCTTCCATCTCTTCTCATTCTCATTCTATTCTTATTCTCTTCTCTTCTTATTCTCTTCTTTTTTCTTTTTTCTTATTTTTATTTCTTACTTATTTTGTCATGCTGATGTAGTATATATTGGAGGTATTGACCCTTTGAAAGCTGGATGCAATGAAATTTCATTTTAATGTATGCCGATTACTGTACATTTAAAATGACAATAAAGTTATTATACTATACTATACTAAAAGGGACGCGGTGGCTCAGTAGCTAAGACGCTGAGCTTGTTGATCGAAAGATTGGCAGTTCAGCGGTTCGAATCCCTAGTGCCATGTAACGGGGTGAGCTCCCGTTCCTTGTCCCAGCTTCTGCCAACCTAGCAGTTCGAAAGCCCGTAAAAAATGCAAGTAGAAAAACAGGGACCACCTTTGGTGGGAAGGTAACAGCGTTCCGTGCGCCTTTAGACATTGAGTCATGCCGGCCACATGACCACGGAGACGTCTTCGGACAGCGGAGATGAGCACTGCCCCCTAGAGTCAGGAACAACTAGCACATATGTCAAGGGGAACCTTTACCTTTACCTTTACTATACTATACTATTCTAATTATTCTATTATTCTATTCTTATTCTTTTCTATTTTTATTTATTTACTTACTTTGTCATGGTTATATAGTGTATATTGGAGGTGGTGACCCTCTGAGAGCTGTCTGCAACAAAATTTCATTTTAATGTATTGAATGTGACAATAATGTTAGTTTAGGTCTAAGTTGTGTCTGTATCAACACAATTCTTCAAATGCCTCCCAAATGTGGAGACTGAGCTCTATGTCCCTTTCTAACCACAAGATGTCAGTAGAAGATGGGGATATTTCCTTTTAAAATGCTGCCCACTCTTTAAAAAACTATAGGTAATTCCTTATCCTGTGTACAACATTAACTGCCATGCATGAATTGTGGAAAGGAATGACACACACACCCCAATGATTTTGTGTGTGTATTGCAGAATTACATGCTGAGCCCCAAAGAGCATGAAAGCAGATAGAAAAATAGAAAAGAGCTGAAGCAAGGCATTAAAAAGACGCCTCTGGTTGTATAAATAAAATGTAAGGGAGGAAAAAATGGAGAGGAAAAAAGACTCAGTTTTCCAATAACTTAATCGTGGCTTTGGATTCCGATACAAACAGTCCTCAACTTATGACCATAATATTTGGATCTGCATTTCCATGGCTAAGCAGGACACTTGTTCAACGAATTACACCTAATTCTGTGACTTTTTTTCCCCCTTTGTGCCACAGTTGTTAATTGAATCACCGAAGTTGTTAAATGAATCACACTTGTTAAGCAA